GTTGGAAGCTTCAATCATATACCATACAGGTCAGATATTCCCAAAGTAGTTAGTCGATTTCGACAGGACCCAAAAAAAATAATACTGCCCGTATAGAGAAATTTGAGTTCATCGAAATCCTATACTGGTATAAATACCATCACATCCTTCCAAATAGCAAAATCATTTCGATTTCGCAGCAAAATCATGAACGGGTCGACAACACGTCCTTGGTCTCAACATATCCTACCACAAGGACCTTAGCGAGAGGAAAACGACCAGAATATCATTGGCATTAAACTAGAATTGTTTGAGGTATTCTGAGTCACACATGCAGACTTTTATCGTAATGTCTCATTTAATCAAAACAACTTACCAAGATCCTGCAAGCTCTGGGGTAAATCCCAATGAAAAATGGTAACAAGAGGTTCAATCCCCTTATCCAAAAGCCCATCAATCAGGTTGTTGTAGTACTTCTGGCCGTCTTCGCTGATCTTATTACTAAAACCCGTAGGCATAAGCCTTGGCCAAGACAGAGAGAAACGGTAGAAATGTAGACCAAGCTCCGTTGCCATTTCTATGTCTCTCTCCCAAAGATGATAAGAGTCGCAGGTCACGTCTCCATTAGTGAGATCCATTATCGCTTCAGGTTTGGTGTGGACTAGCCGATCCCATATACTTTCACCTTTGTCTGGAATGTAAAAACTATTAAATACTGGTTTTATTTATTAGCTGATATCCGTCTAAATTTCTAGGTACCTAGATATCTAGACTAAAGATTAAAAATTATTGTTACTTTTATTAAATTGCACGGTTTACGGATTCCAAGCTTATTGGAACCTCTCGTCCGGGCATAGCTAAAATAGCCCCTTGGCTACCAGAGAATAGGTAGGAAAAAAATGGAATCTTTAAGCAATATCCTTGTAAACTCACCGCTGACATTCCAAGCTCCCTCAACTTGGTATGAAGCTGATGCTGCACCGAACTTAAAGCCCGGGGGGAAGGTTAAGTTCGAGCCATAAGCAACACTGCACAGCAAACTACGAACAACTTCAACATTAATTTCGAATATTGACGAAAACACATTTTTTTTTATTGCTAAGATTTGTTTTTTTTATTGCGTATTGCTTAGATGGATGGACGAGCTCACAGCTCACCTGGTATTAAGTGGTTACTAGAGCCCTTATACATCTACAATGTAAATGCGCCATCCACCTTGAGATATAAGTTCTAAGGTCTCAAGTATAGTTGGGTCATACACAAATAGAGAATAAAAAAGTGCAGCAAAAAAAATATCTCAGAATCAGTGTGAAACAAACTATTTATTATTTAGCTATTGATATCAATCTTTTAATCACTGTAACCGAGATCAATATGTCTTATTTTTGGCATAATCGCAATTTTTTTATTTTTGCGGACCACAGAAGAGACGATTTAGTCTACAAGAGAGATGAAAAGCTGTGATGCAGCGTAAGCTAAAATATATTAAGACAACATAATCAAACACGTGTAGCCACTGATATAAACGAATACCGAAACGCAAATAAAATGTCAAAATAATCACATTAATTGGAAAATAAAAAATAAAATAATAATGTCTACAGAAAGGAAAATCCCTTCAGTGGACTTATGAAACAAAACAAAATTTCGAATGATAATAATTTTACAGCCATGGTATATTACTCGTATATAATTCTTTAGATAGCTAATGAATTTTAATATGCAATGTAATGAAATTTAAGGACTTTGATTATTTCAAAATATTTCCAGAGAACTATCAGAATCGTCTGAATCAGCATGAACTAAAACGAAGCAAGATATGAACCAACCCACGACCCAAGGGTTGAACCCCCTGAACGAAATCAATAAAAATAAAAAAAATGTTTTCGTTTCCTCTATTTACATTGATTAGATTTATAATTTTTTTTATCGCGAATATAAAATGTACTAAAAAGTTTGAGGCTCTAACTTAGAATATCAAATGTTGCCAAAATCAAACCTCTTTCTAACCAACTTTAAAAAAGGAGTAGGCCCTCGGTTCAACTATTTTTCTACTTACTACTTTCTCTACTTAGACCTACTAAGGTATGTTTCTTACACATTTTCTGTGGACATAGTCTTTTCGGTGGACATGGGGACCACAGGAAAGATGTCCACAGAAAAGATGTATTATAAAAACTCTTGCGTAAAGAAATTAACTTTAAGGTTTTGGCTTTTCATTTACTTGTACTAAATGCTCATATAAAAACAATAAATATACATTTTTATAGATAATATTTACATGTCTATAACTGGAACAGGAAAGAACACTTGATCTTTTGCGTTTATGTGTGTTTTGGAATAAAAAACATATTTTCACTCGCACTGGAATCGAAACAACAAAATATCAAACGCCGGACTGGCCACTATTTAGTGATGCCATAAGTTAAAAAAAAAAACTTAATGCGGTCGAATAAATTAAAATTTGATGTCGTTTTATCGCGTCCACAGAAGAGACTCCATTTCATGTAACCATAAGTTTATTGGATTTATTGTATACAGATAGTAACGATATATTTTTTTTATTCTCAATATTATTATCTTTATTATATTGTTTGTGTTACAAGTAAATAATTTTAATATATAGGGTACTTTAACTATTTTTAAACATGGCTCAAACATTATACCTTCGTCTTGTAACAGTCCACAGGAA